GACTTGAGAGGTTTTGAACGTGACAGGACTGCAAAAGAGGCCGCTCTATTATTCAGCGGGCATGAATTACGTTTATGGGTGTATTTATTTACCCAAGTTTGAGGTACTTTAATGAACTGATCCAGTGCCAATTGTGGTCCGATAACTTTTGGAACTCTATTCCGAATTGTCCACGGATCTTTCTCATGTTAGGGATCTCGAGCTAATTAGTTACGAGGCAACGTGGTGCGTCCTCAGATGGCAGATGGGGGGTTAATCGCGGACCAAAAGCGACCTCTGCTTCTCTGAGATGCAAGTGGATCCAGGGGATGGGCTCGCTGTTTCTGCTCCGTTGATTTAGCACATACTTTCCGTATTTGATGCGCGTATTCATATATGCATGTGTGGGAGCGCTCTTGCCTATGCGGATTGTATTCTACAAGCCAATTCTGCCAAAAGCCCGCAATCAAGTGACTGGGAAGTATATGAAAGACGATTAAGAGTCGCCTTCAACATATAAGCTCCATGTCCATTCTGGGAGAGCCTGGCAAGCTGCCCGTGAGTAAACCCAGCCCCCACGTTCGGAGTCCAGCAAGCTATACGTGGGTATTAAAAATGCTAAACACAGTCGTTTTCTTGTTCAGCAATCGCGAGGATTTTAAACAACATACATTCACTTCCATAGAAAAACACAATACAATAGAATGCTGGCTGACGTTTAGGCAGTATCGCCTTCTTCAGAGCCTGGAAGGGTATACTGACATACAATCTACTAGGCCAAAAGCTTCAATAACACTTACAAAAAGACGAAAAACTCTCTGGTAATTACATGATCAACAACTTTTCGAAAAACTCACCGCTTTTTTTCCGTGACCTCCGATGAGGAAGTTTAGAACATCTGATTATAGTCGCATGTGGTTGACGACTGCACCATCCCACATCGAAAATCGATGCGAACATACGGGATCAGGTCGCGCATGACCTCCGGGCATTCATCCCTGCTATTCATTGTAGGGTTTTTGGCATTTATCCAAAAAGCCTCAAGAAGATTTCGCGCTGGTGTTTTGGACTCCTGTTCAAGGATATTGACTTTCACTTCAAAATCGTCTCCGCTATGCTTTTGTATCCTATGCGTGCCTGCTGGGGTGCTTCGTCTTAGTTTTCGTTTGCTATCTAGGTGTTCTTTTATACGGATACACAAAGGTCTGCCCGTTTCGCCAATGTATTCATCTTCGCAATTGTTACAAGAGATCAGGTATATCGTACCTGAACTCATTCAATCACCGTCCCTGCTCTAAGGGCAAATAACGCAATTTGTTGTTTCACATAGACGATCATACAGGCAGTTACGAACTAATTGACGACGTAGTGTAGCCGGTGGTATTTCAACTATCGCTACCGATTCCTCTAGACCTGCCCTTCTTAAGCATCGTTTTATAGCTACGCTTACTTCATCGCTTATAAAAGGCAACATAAACGGGTCTTTCTTTTGGCCAAGTGTTTCGTGTGGGCGCGTCGTTCTCCTTGTAAACTTATCTCGTGGGGTTACTATTTCGTAGCCATTGGAGATGGCTATTTGCCGAGCCAAGTCGCGCGATTCTTCCTTTAGTTCCCTGGTAGTGCACACAGAGGTGGCTGTTCAANATGTATTCATCTTCGCAATTGTTACAAGAGATCAGGTATATCGTACCTGAACTCATTCAATCACCGTCCCTGCTCTAAGGGCAAATAACGCAATTTGTTGTTTCACATAGACGATCATACAGGCAGTTACGAACTAATTGACGACGTAGTGTAGCCGGTGGTATTTCAACTATCGCTACCGATTCCTCTAGACCTGCCCTTCTTAAGCATCGTTTTATAGCTACGCTTACTTCATCGCTTATAAAAGGCAACATAAACGGGTCTTTCTTTTGGCCAAGTGTTTCGTGTGGGCGCGTCGTTCTCCTTGTAAACTTATCTCGTGGGGTTACTATTTCGTAGCCATTGGAGATGGCTATTTGCCGAGCCAAGTCGCGCGATTCTTCCTTTAGTTCCCTGGTAGTGCACACAGAGGTGGCTGTTCAAAACATGTTTCTCACAATCGTCCTCTTTGTGTGTGAAGGGTAGAAAGAAAGGAAATGAACGAGGATGTTCTTGTTACTTGGCTTTCGGTGCCAATCTATCAAGTAACCGCTACTTGATAGGTTTACTTGAACGTTCAAAAACGGAAGCTAGTTTTCTTTCGGTTTCTTCCGGTTGAACTTTATGTACTCAGACTGCTCGTTCAATAATTCAAAGCATTTGTCCATCTCCTCCTGCGTAGAGAAGACGACAAAACAATCATCTACATATCTGTAGTAGAG